CCACCGTCCCACACAGCAGTGACCGCCCAGGGTGCTTAGAGGCGCCTCCTGAGACACCAAAGTCCCCACCACTCCCTGCCATCTGCCCGGGGCCGGCCTCTGCAGCTGCGCCACGGCCCAGGGCCACCCCACAGTCCCACTGCCGAGGGACACTCACCCTGCCAGGATGCCCACGGTGACAGAGTATCCGATGGAGAATGGCGCCAGAGGGCCCTGCGTGCTCTCGTTAATGGCTCCCATGCAGACGGCCAGTGCCAGCAGTGCGGTCAGCATGACCTCCGTCACCACTGCGCCTGTCAGCTGCCCCGGCTCCTGGACTGTCACAAAGGCTGCCCCCGATGCATTCCAGAACCTCTCCTCAGGACTCACCGCCTGCAGAGAGAAGCCACTCAGCCCCACGGTGGGGACACAGACAGCCAGGAGCTGGGGGCAGGGGCCTAAAAATGCATGCCCCCGACCCCGTGAGCCCGCGATAGCCTGTCCGCTGTCCGGTCAGACACTTGTTCCTCTCAGCTCCACTGGTCTTTGCCATGGGGCTCGAGGAGCTGCTGGACATCTGTGCACTGGGGATGACCCGGCAGAGGCGCCAGGGTCGTGGGCCTGAAGCTTGTGTAACTTAGATGGCCTCTTGGAGAAAAAGAATACAGAAACTCTTTAGTTTTACAAACTTCACAAACACGTATGAGCAGGTGAACCTGTAGCTAAAGCTCTATGTGGTCCCTTCGTAGGGGCGGGAGGCTTCGTGGGAAGTCACCTCAGGCGTCACACAGCCCCCAGACGGGAAGACAGCGGGCAGATGAGCTTCTGCACCCTGGGCCCAAATCCGGGCTTTGCTGCTCATCTGAACTTGGGCAAGTTCCCGACCTCTCTGTGCCTCTGTTTCCCCTTCTGTAAAGCGGGGCGATAATATCAACCCCTGTAGGACTGATGCTGGCTTCTCGTGAAGTTGTGGGGAGAGTAAATGACAGATGTGTGAAGTGCTTAGTAGGCAGGTCATGCTCCATAAACGGCAGCTGCCCCCTGTACGGGTCACCGTCATGTCTGGCAAGGTTCCAAGTAGCCCAGCAGGAGGGAGAGTCTGGGCATGGCCTCCCAATGAGAACCACGGGAGGAGCCCGCCCCGCCTGCCGACGGGGGAGCAGGATCTCAAGTGGGGGTATTGGGGGACCAGGGAAGGAAGACAGAAAACGGGGACTTGAGAGCAAAGTCTGCAGGGGGCCCACGCTCAGAGCCATAGACCAGATGCCAGCCAGGCTAGCAGGGCGCCCCCCACGCATGCCAAGAGAGGCCTCCCTCTCGAAGGGCCCCGGTTAACAGGACTGGGACGTACGGGCAGCAGGACAGACAGACAGAGGGAGGGAGGAAAGGGGGAAGGGAGAGGAGAGCGGAAGGAGGGAGAGAAGGAAGGAGGGAAGGGGTGGGGGGAGGCGGTGGGCGTCGGCCCATGGCGTTAGGCGTAGAGCTATGGAAACTGGCTGGCAGGAAGAGCTGGCCTTCCCGTCAGTATGGGGGTGCTCCACGCGCCAACTGAATGCTAACACCTAGCGAAGGCAGAGCGTGGGTGTAAAGGGGGGCGGCGGGAGGACACGGAGACATCGGCCCAGGAAAAGCCGGTCGCCGCGTACCCCAGTCGGGGCTTAGTGAGGCGTCTGCAGAATGGGTGAGCCTGCGGGCAAGTGGGGCGCTAGCACAAGCAGATCCAAGCCAAAGCCAGGAACGGACGCGGGGGGGAAGAAAGCCTCGGTCCTGAATGCTGCCTCCTGGTCTGTCCCAGGAAGGCCTTGTCCAGACATAGACAGAACGGGGCGGGTTTGGAGTGAGCCAAAGGCCCTTTGTGTGTCCCCACTGGAGCGAGCGGGACAAGAGTTGGGCAGTCCCCGCTCCCGCATCAGAGCCCAGCCAGCGGCCCAGCCCCCTGGGGGTCACCCACCTTGGCCAGCGCGGCCCCAATGAGCCCGCCGCACAGCTGGGAGGCCCAGTAGGGTAGCAGCATCATCAGGTCAAGGCCTCCGATGAGCGCGGCTGCCAGGGACACCGCGGGGTTGAAGTGTCCGCCGCTGTCCCGCAAAAGCAGAAGGAAGTCAGGTCAAGGCCGAAGGCCGAGGAGAAGTGTCCCAACAGCCCTCCAGGCTGTCCTCGCAGTCACGCGAGGGCCTATCCGGGTAGATGCCAGGCACTGAGGTGCTGGGCGGCGGGACGCAGGACACGAGGGGACACACCCCCAGATGGCCCGGGGGAGCACGGGCGGGACACCCCTCAGGCCTCGTGGGTCCCAGGGCCCCTCCTGGCCCTTTGGAGGCGGGCGCGGGGTCAGGCAAAGCCCCAGACCATGAGGAAGTGGCCGCCAGACAGGGCACCTGAGCACTAGGACGGACAGCTTGACCAGCGCAAAGCCCGTCCGGTCTTCCCTTCTGCCGCTTCGTGCTGATAGCTTCAGGTGTTCGCCATCCGTAGGTGCTGGGACCTGACTCCACAGTCAGCTAGGTCACACCCGGCCGCACGCAGCAGCAGCATTTTGTCCTTGCGATGGGGACTGAAGACCTGCTCTCGCCGCAACTTGCAAAGGCGCTCGGCGGTCCTAGTGGCTTCGGTTGCCGGGCTGTCCATCACGTCGCCGGGACTCCTCCGTCTCAGAGCCCGAAGTCTGTACCTCGTGTCCCCTCCTCCCACTCCCCTCCCCCCCCCACAGCTGGCAGCCACCCTCTGCTCTCTGCATCTGCAGGCTTGAAAAAGCCCTATTTTTGGTCTAAAAGTGGGATTCGTGTTGAAGATAAACGGTGATGGGGGTCGGAAGCGAGGTTAGAGGTCAGCCTGGGGCTGGGTTGTGAAGGGGAGTCCAACAAAGTCAAACCCAGGGTCCAAGGGCAGGTTCAAGTTGCCGGCCCCTCCACTGGTTGTGGGTAAAGAGCCTTCCTTTTTATCAAGATGCGCAGGCAGCCCAGGATCCAGAGCCAGGAGGCCCCCCAAACACTCTGCCACCCCTGTCGGCAGCCCAGCCGGTCCCACTGTCCTCAGAAGTAGGCCACCTAAATCCCTCTGGTGCAAGGAATGGAATGGACACTCCCCACAAGAGGAAAAGCGACCCTAAGTCCCCCCATGTCACGAAAGAGTCGAAGCGCCCCCCTCCAGATGTTACGGGCCCTCCCACGGGCCTGCCCATCCCCATGGACACGGCATTGAGCTGAGGCTGAGCAGAGGTCTTTGGTCTGGACCAAAGGACTGCCCGACACACTGGTACCCCGGGACCTGTGGCCCAACCTCGTCTGGCCCAGACGTGTGCAGATGCCATGCGTGAGCTTCCTGCGCGGCCTGGAAGCTCCATCTGGTGCTTGGATTCAGCAGGTGGAGACGGGCAGCTGGGACCACCTGGTCGCAATTCAGCTCCATGACCAAGTTCAGTCAGCGTTCCGCCAAAGCACAGATGAAGTGGGGTGCGGTGGGGGCCTCCCGTGCAAGACGGTGACTTAGAAGCCTCTCTCCAGCCATCGGCCTCTCGGCCACCATCTCACCCCGGCCAAGCAGGAAGAGAGACAGGGCAGAGCTCAACCAGGAGAGGACCAGGCTGTTCCTGAGACCGACTTCGCACTCAGCAATAAAACAATCAAGACACTGTCTTCATCTGTTCATTCATCGTTTGCTCAACAAATATCCACTGAACGGCTACTGCGTGCCCGGCGTAGTGATGGGCACTTTATATGCCTTATCATGGCTCCACGGAGCACCTCAAAGATAGTGCCTGACACTTAGTGGGTGCCAAACAAATATTTGTTGTAAAAGCAAATGACTGAATAAAAGAGGACAGCCTACCGCACTGTATAAAAAACAGTCCCTCCCGCTAGCTGGCCTGGGTTCAAAACTCCAGCTCGACCACTGAATGGCTGTGTGACCTTGGGCAGGTTACACATCTCCCTGTGTCTCCACCTCCGAAGGCTGTTGCAGAGGCACGACGCGTGAATGCACGTGCACGTCTGGTCTCGCCAGATAGCGCTCAACATCAGGGACCCTTCTCATCCCAATCACGCAGCTGCACGGGGAGCCTCAGCTGCTCGGCCTGGCTGCCCAGCTGAGATGTGACAAAGACTGCATCCGACCCAGACCCACTGGAGCTGGAGAGCATGAGCTCCCTGTTGCACGTCAGCCTCCCCCGGACGTTTGAAGAGAGACGTTTAAAGCTCTCTTTCCATCTGCCTTCTTGGGACACGGAATTCTGATCTTCTCTGTATTCAGATCTATTTTCTGAGTGAGATGAAATCCTGAGCATCCGTGTCCTGGATGGACCTGCCGGGGGCCCCTTTTGAGACACAGGTCATCATGACTGGCTCTCCTGGCGGCCGGCGGACCCCGCCCTTCCCCTGCCCCTCTCTGCTCGCCACTGGATGGGCCACTTGGGGCCACTGAGGCTCACGGGCACCCTGGGAAAGCCCTGCCATCTGCTTTCTGCTTCCCAGGGAACCCCTGGGCTGCTGGAGTGAGACCCCAAGCTAATGGGGGCAGCAACACGGCCACCAGTGGCGACGGACTCAACTGCCCCATGAGGCTCACGTTTGGGCGTTGGCACCATACGGCTCTGCTTATGTCCTGGCTCTGCTGCTCCTAGTCACGTGACCTTGGGCTAGGTCGTTCCCTGCCACAGCTGGCAAGTAGGGATGATGAGAGCATGCACCCACAGGGTGGTCGTGAGGACCCCGCAAGTTGACATCTGTGACGTGCTTAGAATGGCTCCTGGCACTTGTTGGCACTGCGGTGTGTGTGAGCTTGCGGAAGAGGATTTCAGCGAGCTCTGCCGTCCTGGCCTCTGGGCGGGAGGTGCAGGCTGGGGACGGCCCTGCCCGGAGCCGCAGGCCCGGGGCGCAGTGCTAGGATTGGAACCCCGCAGTCTGCCCCATCCCCACTCCCAGCGTCCTGCGTGGGCGCACCGGCCGTCTCACCTGATGTTCCCCAGTGTGGCGATGATGAGCCCCAGGGTCAGCCCGTGGGCCAGGGCGGGCTGCAGCGGCCCTGTGTCCGGCCGGTGCTCGATGACTGACAGGCACCCGATGAAGACGAAGAGGGTGCTGCCCAGCAGCTCGACCAGGCAGGGCTGCACGCACCGCTCATACAGGAACCCGTGGCCCCGGGCCCCCATGCCCCGCTGCCTGCCTTCGCCACTGCCAAATTCAAGGTCGCACGTGGGCACAGCCTCCTGCAGAAGGGGAGTGGGAGGGTGGGCTCAGGAGGACGGGCGCCCAGGAGGAGCCCGCTGCCCCAACTTCGAGTTGCTTCTCCACGGCCCGGGGTGCGAGGGAGCAGCCAGCGGCGGGCTCACCAGTTTAGACATCAGGGCTGAGGCTGTGCGGGATGGGGCTCCTGGCTGAGCGGGCTGGGAACCGGCACCTGCTCCCTGGACACGCTTATGTCCGTGCTGCTGATGGCACTCTGGGCTCTGCCCTCTTAAAGGTGCACAGAGGCCATAAAGCCGAGGAGGGGGGTGGCCCCGGGGCCCGAAGAGGAAGCGTTTGTTTTCAGTGCTCAGCTGGGCAGGGCGGGGTTGGGGGTCAAGGATTGCTGTGTTTCTGCCAACCAGGGGAAAGGCACCGGCTCAGCTGTGTCATCGTCTGGGGACCGCTCTGGACTGTCCCCAGTGAGAGTGGCCCAGCTCCCCCACCTCCCATGGCCACCATCAGGGGCCAGAGGGGACCACATGTGGGGAGGAACAGCAAACCCATCCTCACTTGATCCCCACAGACATCGTGAGGCCCAAACCCTCTCCACCCCCTCACCTGTCCCAGGGCCAGCTGTGCAGACGGACGCTGGCCGGTGACAGAGGCAGCAGGGGCCACGTGGCCCGCAGTGGAGCCGTAGACACTGGAGACACACTGCCTGGACTTCAGTCCCAACCGCACCGCGAACGAGCTGTGTGACCCGGCGCGTTCGCTCCCCTGCGGCCCCTGGGTGTTCTCCCCTACGATGCGCGGGCGACGGCGACACGGAGTCGTCGTGGGGTTCGAGCGAGTTTAGCCGTGTGTGTAAGGTGCCCACGACAGCACCAGACACGTGGCAAGCACACACCAGTGTCTGGCCATTTAGAGTGCAGGTTTACATTAAGCGGTATTGACTGAGCGCCGTGTGCATGCCAGGTGCGGGGCTACGCGCTGTGTGTGACCCGCAGCAGCCACGTTGCTGCTAGTGTTATTGCCCTTTGCAGATGGGGAGAGGGGTTCAGGAAGGTGAAGCTTCTCAGGATCACACAGCTTTTGTCACTGCAGACGTGTGGGCTAAATCACGAAAAGGACAAATGCCGTACAATGCCACGCGTATGGGTCCCCAAAGCGGTCAAGCGCATAGACACAGAAGGTGGGATGGTGGCTGCCGGGGGCTGGGAGCAGGGGAGCCCGAGGACATGATGTTTAATGAGGACAGTTTCAGTGTGGGAAGATGGAAAGGTCCGGGGGCTGGAGGGTGGTGGCAGCTGCACAACAGCAGAGCGTGCTTAACGCCACCGCAGGGCGCACGGGAAATGGCTAACGTGGCAAACCTTACGCTGTGTGCCTTCGCCACAGCTGGAGAGAAAGAACCGCGTGCTAAGCCAGTAAGCTCCACTGCCCTTCTAAGATGGAGGGTGGGTGGACGGACGGACGGACGGTGGGTGGATGATGGATGGAAGGTGGATGTTGGTGGATGGATGATGGATGGGTGGGTGGATGGATGGATGGATGGACGATGGATGAGTGGATGGATGGGTAGATGGTGGGTGATGGATGGTGGATGGTGGATGGATGGATGGTGGATGATGGATGGATGGATGATGGATGATGGATGATGGATAGATGGATTGATGGATGAATGGATGGTGGATGGATGATGGATGGATGGTGGATGGATGATGGATGGATGGTTGATGGATGGATGGATGATGGATGGATAATAGAGACCATAATTAGATTGAGAATATGTAACATATAACTATTAAGAGCTCTAGAAAAATATAATGAAAGTTGAGAGGTGATATTTGAAAAATAATTTTCATGAATTATCTTGAATTGAAGACACACGCCTTCTAATTGAAAGTGAACATCCAGTGCTGACCAGGAGAGACATAAGTGGGGGGGTGGATGGATGGATGGATGGATGGACAGTGGATGAGGGGATGGGTGGATGATGGATGGACGAGGGATGAGTAGATGGATGGATGGTGGGTGGACGGACAGATGAATAGAAAGAAGGGAGGGAAGGAGTGGGAAGGAAGGGAGATAGGTTTTCTTATTTATCCATTCAACAAACAAACACCTTCTATGAGCCGTCTGGAGATGCAGAGTGAGCAAAACCAGCAGCGACTCTGCTCGGCCCTCAGGACTGTCAGTGGGTGTGCCCACAGATGGGGACACCGTGCCAGAGACCAGGGAAAGTAACTGTGGTCTCGTCCATGTGCCAAGCCCCACGACGCGTCACACAGGGCGCTGAGCACTCGGCATGTAGTCATGACGACTCTGCTTGGCCCTCAGGACCGTCACGTGGCTGTTAGGGCAGCTGTCGCAACAAAATAGAGGTGTCACGTGAAAGCCAGCGTGGAGTAGGAGATGAGGCCATGACGTCGAACCCAGTCGTTACGAGAAATTGCGCCACGCCCCACGGTGCCCACACCCCAGCGTAAGCGAGCGTGGCATTTACGAACGCGCGTTATCTAGGGACTCGGTTACATTGAGCTGTTTGATTATAGTTACTGAAGAAGGAAATAAAAATATAAGTAAAATATATATTTGTTTAATACACATGTATTATTCAAGTGGCTACTAAGTTGGTGAGACATAAAGACTAATTACCTACCAAGCAGGAGGACGAGGTGTTTCTTTTGGAACACGGTGAGCCGAGGAAGTCCCGGAGCCTCTGGGCCAGACGACATGTGTCCCGCGTTAGGCCCTGGGAGTCGCTCTTAACCACTAACGTCTCTCCGTGGGACTGGCCCATTCGTAACATAGGTGCTGGTGCAGACTTGAGGCCGCACCCCCTCCTCAGAAAGTATGGCTTTACGTCCATGCCAACGGCTCAAGTCGTCCCCACACACGCCCACGTGGGGCTCGGGCACGGAGTGGCTAGAGGTGGCCGTGGTTTTCACCCGTCTGTCCGCTTTGAACTTGAGCCCCTTCCTGCCCCGTAGAAGCCACCAGCACCCACATCTCCCCCACAGTGTCAAGTTCACATGTTGATGTCCTTTGAGTCCCTGGTAACCAGGCATCAGACGTGGGGGCTAATTCAGGACGCTGTACAGCCAGGAAGTCATCAAACTGAGGAGGCAGCCCACTAAGTTTCACCCACGAGGGTCGCCTGCTCACCATCTGCACGTACTGGACAACAGTTCAGGTGGCAGCAGCGGTGACAGCCCCCTACGGCAGACATTCTGTAAAAACGGGCATATGCCACATGAACAATCAGAACATTCCCATGTCATCGTCCTTTGCTTTTGCTTTTAAGCAACAGGCAACCTGTCTTCCAAAGTGGTTATGCAGCCCGAGGCCCCCGGCGGCTCTGGCTTCCCGCCAGCAGCGCACATGGCCGGTCTCTCGGGGTCTGACATCTGGCACGCGCACAGTGGGCTCCCATTGCGGTTTTAATTTGCGTTAAAAATGGGAGAAGGTGGCCAGAAGGCACACACTGCCAGCTCTAGAATGAATACGCCCCGGGGGTGCCACACACAGCGTGGCAGCCACTTAACAACACACCCCGCATCTATGAAAGCTGCTGACCGTGGATCTCGAAAGTTCTCATTACAAGAAGGAAAACACGTTCGCCACTCCGTGGGGCGATGGCTGTGAACGCGCGTTCCTGTCAGGTGCTCGTTTTGCGATGTGCACAAATACCGAGCCACTGTGCCACGCGCCTAAAACGAATGTGATGCTGTATGTCAACTGAACCTCAATAAAAGTAGAACGAAGCAAGACAGAATCAACGAACCCAAGCAGAGCGGAGCCAGGACTTCCGTTTCGCTGACTCGGTTTTCAAAGAGAAAGTTTGTCACATGGAAAATTTTTGATTCTAATGAAAGTGTCGAACTGCAACCTTCTGTTAAGTACTACCAGGTACCTTTCAAGAAACATAAACGTGTTTTAAGGCCATGCCACCCTGAACGAGCCCGATCCCGTCTGATCTCGGAAGCTAAGCAGGGTCAGGCCTGGTTAGTACTTGGATGGGAGACCACCTAGGAAGACCAGGTGCTGTAGGCGTAAGAAATAAAAAATAAGGGATAGTAAGCTGACAAGGTCCTTGTAATCTGTGAGGTCCACCAAGGTTTGCCTCGCCTAAAAAAAAAAGAAAACAAAAAAGAAACATAAACGTGACATTTGTTCACTTCTGAAAATGAACCTTATGCTCACGCTAAACACGCTTTGCCTTCCTCAGCCCCACAGCCATCTGACCTCTGTCAGCCCCTCAAGCTTGACTGGGGCCCTGGAGCAATGCGGTCATGTCCCAAGGCCACTCCTCCTCCCTGTCCCTGTCACGTACAACCCCAGGCACAGAGTTCAAGGCAAATTTACTGCGTGGTCCTTTGTTTTAAAGGACGTTGCGCAAGAAGCTAATTTTAGAAGTGTATTTTTAGGCTGTAATCTTCTAGTAAATCATTGAAAATGAACGAAGACCAGGAAAGTACCTGGGAGGGCAGAGGTGAGGGTGTGCGTACGTGCGTGTGTGCGTGAGCATGTGTGCACGCCCCGGGAGATGCAAGCAGATTCCCAGGCTGGCAAACAAACATTCAGCTCCATGTGCCTTCGGGACTGGTCACTGGGAGGTTGCCCTGTGCACAGTGGGGAGATAGCAGCATCTCTGGCCTCCACCCAGCACCCTGAGATGTGACAACAAAAATGTCTCCGCGTGTTGCCAGATGTCCTCAAGGCAGGGGGAGGCGGGGGTCAGACAAAGCCCCCTGTTCAGAACGCAGGGGGACCTGGCCGCTTCGGGAAGCTGCTCTGACGCCAAGGGGTGACAACACCCTGAGACACGAACCCGAGTGCTTGGGGCGTGGCCTGGGGGACTGCACGGGAATCCCGGCAGGCTGGGCGCAAGGCCAGGACGTCTCGAGTTGCCTTGCTGACTCCCCCAGCCCCTCCTTGCCGAACCCCGGGCTCTCGGAGCTGTGCTGGCCGAGCTGAGGGTCCAAGCCTCGCCGGGGGACCAAGGTCTCCTCCAGCCTTTCAAACTGTTTTACTGCAGTAAAAGACACCGCACCTTTCAACCGTTTCTTAGCGTGCCATTGGGGGCTGTTACGCACGTTCACACTGTCGTGCAGCCCCCACCCCCGTCCGGGACTCTCTCACTGCCCAAATGGCCACACTGGGCCCTTAAACACGCCCGACCCGACCCGGCAGCCGGCATCGGCTTCCCGCTCCATGAACCTGGCTACGGCAGGCACCGCGTAGGAGCGGGGACCACCGTGCGCCTGCGGCTGGTCCATCCGTACCGTCGCGTGTGGCAGCCCCGTCCTTCCAAAGACCGAAGAGCATCCCCCTGTGGGCCTGCAGCATGTTGTCCGCTCCAGATGTCCCAACTTTTGGTCATTGCGAATAATCCTATGAACGTGGCTGTAATAAATCTTTCCTGATTGCTAAAAAAAGTTACTTCTTAAAATTACCGAAGTCCCTTTTTGCTCTGTGTCAGGGCCCGGCTCCTGTCTGCCTGTCTGTCTGTCTGTCCCTCCCCCCAGCCCCCTGTTCTGTCCCTGTGACAAGCACCCAGCGCGAGTGTCTGCCCAAAGTCTAACCTAATCGGTCCCTCCCCGGCAACGGCATCTTGATTCTCCTGGGGGGGACCACACGTCCCGCACTCTGGGCTGGCAGTTTGGGTAGTGCTGACACCCGCCCCCTCATTCGGCCCCCTCCCTCTCCTCCCCACCCCGGTAAGGCCGGGCGTCCACCTCGGCCCAGCCGAGCAGACATTCCATCTGCCAGGCCACCCTGCCCGCTCCGAGTCAGTCACACGCAATCCCGGGAATTTTTCCGCAGATTTGGGGGATTGAGAAGTGGCCCTCTCTGGGGTCCCTGGTAGGGGGTGCAGAGACCTGCTGCTGGGCAGCCATCCCCACCACCACGAGGGATGAGCCCGACGAGGATGGGCCACAGAGAGCGAGGCTGACGACCCGGAGCTGCACCCCGGAACCGGCCGGGCTGGGCGATCCGTCTTTTTGGGTCGGAGCTGGGTCTCTGGGGTCTCCATCCCTCGGAGCGGGGAGAACCCCATTAAGCATGCTCCAGACACCATTAGGTTTTAGGATTTCAGACTCCTGAAATCAGAGCAACCGTTTTCAGGGGGGCGGGCACGGGGCCCCCTTGAGGCGCCCGGACACACCTCTGGGTGCAGGACGGGGCTAAGGCATAGCCTCAGGCAGAGGCGTCAGGCGCACTGATGACCCTTGCATAGGACAGGCGTGAGGGCGAAGCCACCTTCACACACACTGCCCTGGGGGGTATGGCCGCAGGCCCAGCAGCACGACCTGACCTGGGCCCACAGCCTGTGCCCCTTGGTCACGGGCCAGAAGTCCCAGCAGCTACAGCGGTCGTCTGCATTCTGTCCCCTTTCCTGGGAATGCAAGGGTGTCGCTGAGAATCCAGGCCCCGTTCTCAAAGCGAACAGAAAGGTGGCCGAGAGGGACCCCGGGCAGCAGCCCAGGGCCAAGGGCTCAGGGTGCGGGGAGCTCTGGCGGGAGCTGTGAGGTCGCACCCAGGGGTGGGCAGCTTTCTGGGCTGGGGCGGGAACGGAAGACCGATGACATCGGTGGGGGCAGAACCCCAAGAGCAATGGGGTGGGCTGGATGGGAACAGAGCACGAGGTCCCGGGCTCAGCCGAGTGTGCGGTGTGGTCAGGAGCTGGCTCGTCACGTGAGGAGCAGCGCTGGAACCACCCGGTCGAGGAGCAGGTGTAAGATGGGAAGGGTCACAGGTCACACCGGCACAGCTCTGGCTCCGTGTGTCAGGCAGTCCCCGTGCCCGCAACAGCGAGAGGCCGGCCTCGTCCTCACCGTCCCACCATGCAGAGGGGGAAGCCAAGCCCCAGGGGAGGGGGGTGCTCACGACCACTGGCCTGTGAGGAGTGGGGGAGCTCGCCCTAGTCTGCGTCTTTCTCACTCTCCAGACTCGGGGCTACGTCGTCTTAGTCTGGGGATAAATACAAACGATGACACTCAGGCCCGGAGCACGGAGCAGCAGGCAGGACGCCGAGGCGCGTGTGCGGGGCGGGCCAGTCACCTGAGGCGGCTCCGTCAGTGCGATGCCCCGGAGTCGGCTGTCACACACCCACAGAGGCCTGAGCTCTGCCCGGCACCTAGAGCCTCGATCCACCGCCGACTCACTTCCTGCCCCTGGTACGGGCCCTCACGGTCGCCCGGGCCCACCTCCCGTCCAGGACCACACTTGCAAAGCCCTTTCGCCACATAAGGTAACACGTTCACTGGTTCGGGGCCCGGGGTCACTTCAGGGGCCATCATTCAGCCTGCCACAGCGACCGAGGAAGGACTCAGGCAGAGACGAGCTCTGGCCTCTGGGGGCCCAGGGCCGAGGGACAAGGTGCAACATCACGTGCTGCCAACGAGCACAGAGTAAATCCCAAACGGATGCACGGGCACGGCTGCGCGGGGCTTGCGGGCGGCGAGCCAGAGTGACAGCAGGGGTCGGGACCTTTGGCTTCTGCTCAGAGGGGACTGCAGCCCGCCCAGGAGAGCAAAGGACAGGCACACAGGGTAACTGCCAACTGAGGTTTATTTAAAGGACAGGTCAACAGGAGCGGGAAGTGCCGCGGCAGCCCCGGCCGCAGGCTCCGAGTTGGGGTGGGCTTGACCGGCAGACGAGGCCCGGGCTGCGCCCAGGAGGCTGGCATTGCGTGTCGGCTCCGGGCAGCTGGTAGCTCGGGTTCTGGTACCACGGGCCTGGGCAGGTTAGCAAGTGATGTCCTTCAAACCTGAGGAGTGAGCAGAGACGCTGTGAAGGGACCCCGGGAGCAGAGCGGAGACACGGGTGGGGGGCGGGAGCGGGGCCAGACCCCAGGTCCACAGCGGCGGCTCCGGGCCCCCGAGCCCTGTGGCCATCACCCTGCTTCGTGAGGCGGGAGTGCACAAGCCAGCAGCGCTTCGACAAGCTGGCGGGTGGCCGCTGAGGACGAGCGTGCATCGTGGGCGTGCATGAGCCCTCTGCTGTCCCGACCCGTCCCCGCTGCAGCCCGTCCTGCAGAGCTGAGCCCAGCAGGCGCGGACCTCGTCCTCCAGCACACGGGGGCTGAGGCCAGGGCCGGGCGGAGGCGGGGCACAAGCAGCCCCTTTCGTGATAGCGGTCAAGGTGCCACTGCTCCACAGAGACCACACGACTCGCTGGTGTCTCACACCACCCGCCTTCCCAGAGGTCCAGGAAGGGGAAGTGAACCCAGACATGGGCTCGTGACAATTTTCACAAAGCCACCGAAGCTACGCCCAGAGTCTTCAGCAGCAAGGGGAAATGTGCGTGTCATGACGTTAACTCGAAAAGATCAGGAATCAAAGCTACACGGTGTGTAGATTCCTCTCTATTAAAAACAGAGCAAGCGCCAGAAAGAGTTGGGGGGTGGGGGGCTGTAAGAAGGGGCCTGAGTGGCAGGCACTGGTCGCTGTTTGTTTCTTTGCCACACTTTTTAGAAGTTTCCAAAGTCTGTACTAAAAACTATATTGTTTTTAAAACAATATAAAAACACAATAATGATTGGTTTTAAATCAGAAACAAACTGAAAAGGCTTTTGTGGGCCCAAGTGCACAGCTGAGTAAACGTCTACAGCTGCGGATAAGCCTCGGGGTGATCGACAGTCCTGTGCCAGCCGCTGTCGTCTGGTCAGTGCCAGCAACCCGTCTAAGGCGTCCGCCACTCGGGCACCTGCGGGGCAGCTAGGACATCGAGGCCAGAACCGAGATCTGAACTGGTCTTGGCCGGGTGGAGGGGCACCCAGGCGTCACCCATGGGAGCAGGGGCAGCATGGGGCAGGTGAAGGAGGGACTGGGTCGAGACCGAGGCCATAGGGAGGAGGGACTAGGCCCCGTGGCTGTCCCTGTGGTCCGACTCTGCTGGGCTGGGAAACTCGGCCCTGGTCACAGAAATAAGACTGGGCCATGTGGCCCATGGCCGCGTGGGTCTGTGAAGCGAGGACCTGGCTGTTGACCTTCTGGGGGACCCGCGGATGAGCCGGCGAAGCCGACAGGCCCGGCCACTTTATTGCCACGCTAACTGCCGATGGGGGCGGGGGCCGGCGGACCCGTAAAGGGCCGCTGGGTGACGGTCCTGCACACGGCTGGCCGGCGTCCCCGCTCCCGGAGCAAACGCTCAGGGCACGCGTTCACGGCCCACGTGCACGGCCACGGCCCGGGGCTCCTGGTCGTGCGCCGCGCTCTTGGCAGAGAGGCCCCGGTTGGGGCAGAAAGGAAGGAACGGCCGGTACCGAGCTGGCTTCCGCCTTTGGTCGCCCAGCAGAGGCAGTAGTGCTGCATGAGCTGCTCCAGGAGCTCCAGTTCGTCCAGGAACTCGAGGGACTCTATCCTGCGGGGACAGCGCGGACAGAAGCACGAAGGCACAGTCAGGGACGGAGGCCGCCCACCGGTGCAGGCAGGTGACGGGCGCACGGCGTTCACGGCAGCGAAGCCGAGCGGCAAACTAGGGAAACGCCTGCAGCGCGGGTACCGGAGGGAAGCCGCCCCCGCCCCCGAAAGAGCCGCGCCGCCTCCGTCACGACAGCTTCGAAAACGCCTGCCAAAGCTGGCGCGGGCGGGGGCTGGCTGAAAGGTGATCGGGAGGCGCAGGGACCAGCTTCCAGCCACGACGCAGGGAGGGACGGGGGAAAACAGCCGCGAACACCGTCACGGCCGGCCTCGCCCGCCGTACCTGCTGACCTCCGTCCGCGGCAGCCGGCTGTACAGCTCCATCATGTTCACGGCCGACACGGTCTCCCACCCGTTGGACAGGAGCCGTTGCTTCTACATCGAACAGAGCAGACCAGCAGAGCTGCCGGGCCCGCGCCCCAGGGCTGCCCCCCGCATGCGGGGCTCTGCCGCGGCGCCCGCCCCCCACTCCCAACGCTCCGCCCCAACGCGGCCGTGACCTGCGGAGATGGGGGCGCGGTGGGCGGTCCCTTCAGCCAAAAATCGACATTTTTAAAAGAGTGAGTACAATGACCGATTCCAAGAGACTTAGGGTCCCGTCAGCCAAAGTGCGGGCATATTGGGTCCCGATTCAAATACCCCGACTACGAGCATTTTAACAAGTGGGGAAACTGGACGCGAACGGGCACTGCGAAGGCAGCGCGGCCGACCTGTAAGCCGTGACCACGGCGCCACCACTGTCCCGGGGGGGGGCGGCAGGCCTACTGCCGGGACAGTCGCAGCGAAGCATTTATGGGGCGGACGATGTCTTGTCACTTGCCTTAAAACATTCCCACAACGCCCACAGAACACGGGGCGGAGGCCCAACAACACAACATTCACCAGGGGCGGCTCCTGAAGCGGGGCGAGGGCCGGCTGTTCACCCACGACCCCCTCGACCGCTCTGCTGCCTGAAAACCCGCAGAGGCGGAGCCGGCACATGGGGCGTGGGACCCGCGCATGTTCCAGGAGCCCGTGCGGATGGCCCGTGACAGCCCTCCGGAGGGCCGACGCCCTTGGCTGGCTGGCCGAGGGCACGCGAAGATGTCCCGCCGCTGACCTGCGACTCCAGGGACTTGCAAATCTCCACCCCGGCCAGGTCGCACTGCCGCCTCCGCAGGTTCTCCACCATGATCTGCCCAAACCGGTCTTCCATGTTCACCTGCGAAGCGGGGAGAGGCGGGCGCTGCCTCTTAGACACGCGGAGTCAAATGGTGCCCGGTGCCAGCCGGTCAGGCCGACGTCTGTGGCCGCCCAGTGCAGGTGGCGGAGCCGTGCGGGAGGCCCGCGGCCAGCGTCGCCGCTGCAGACGGGCCTGCAGGAGCGCGGTGGCGTGGCCGCTTCCTGCGGCGCCGTGCACGGAAGTAGGATCTGGGAAGAACTTAAACACCCATCATCTGGGGTGAAATAAATTCTGGCAGGTTTTGTACGATGAAATACTACGAGCCATGAAAACGGGAAAGGAAGACACAGACACAGATAGATGCAGGTACGGAAAGAGCTCTCAGGTCTAAGAACTCTTGAAAAAACACACAACGATGAGAACCATATTCTCCCATCTGCCTTTACGCGTGCACGGAAAACTCTGGAACCTGCAGTGGTGCTCGCCAGGTCAGAGGGCTGAGCTCTGGGGTGGGACGTACTCTTCCTTGTCTACCCTTTTGTACTGTTCGATTTTTTAAAAATTTCTGTATCTGATACTACTCGTAAATAAAAACTACCTTAAAAAACCATAATCCATTTATATGCACAAACACCACAAAACATGTCACGTACACTGTTGTAGCAGAGGCACACTGTTACTTTGTCATATACGAAGTCTCGAAAATCCATCACTAACAATATGTAAAATACTGTGACCTCCCAGAGGTCACGTGACAATGACAGCACCACTGGTGTCTCCTTTGGTGGCCGCGGCAGGCTCGTGTGGAGGGCGGAGGGGGAGTGAGCACGCTCTCCAGCGTTCTGTCGCCTGAGCTGGAGTCCCAGCCTGACACTTCACGCCTGACACCGGGCGCGCCGGCCACCCTGCACTTCGGTCCCCTGACCCGTGAGACCGCGACAGCACGAGGACTGCCTGGTGGCACGTGGCGATGACCGGGCGCGTGGGGCTCACAGCACGGTGCCTGTCGCAGTAAGCAGGCTGAGAAGTCCCTGTCACCCCTGTCACCGTCCTGTGGACCTGTCGTTTTAAACTACTAACCAGGAGCGGCATGAAGCGTGTGAGCGATGACGTAACCAAACGCTGCTGACGTCATCTGCCAGGACACTGTGCAATGAAGTGTTTAGCACTCACAAAATGAGGTTGGTGGCTGGGGTCTGAACAGGTTAGGGACAGCTGTGGACAGGTTAGACACTGGCACATTCCCAGACCTGCTCCGAGTGACAGGGTCTCTGGTCAGAGCTCACCTAACCTGCCACCTCCACTGCTGGGCAGAATGCAGGAGAGAAGCGGGGTGCACCCCTGGGCGAGTGGCAACAGAAGGTGGGTTCACCTGCCCAGGTGCAGCATCCCGCAGGCAGACAGGTTCCCAGGAGTTAGTCACATCACAGAGAACAGAGCAAGGGGGCCTGCCGCTATGTGTCCGCTCGCCAGGACTGAGCACCGGGTCTGAGGACTGTCCCCAGAGAGGGGAGGGAGCCGCCAACCAACCCAGAGCCACCCACACAGGGACCTGGGCTGGTGGGGCGGGGTTGCGGTCAGGGGACCGAAGTCTAGCCCTAATCTGCCTGCAATTATGCAGCCTTGGGTGAGGCCCTGCATCGCTCTCATCGACAATAAAACTTAAAAATAAAATGAGATGGAATATAAAACCCATAAAACTAAAGTGAAACGAACAATAAAAACAGCCTCCACGTGTTCAGTGCTTAACCTGTGCCCACCACGAGCTGCCATGATGGCCCAGAGGGGCGGGTGATCTTCTCCCCTCAAACACAAAGAGCTGGGGCTCCGAGCAACCCCAAAACAGCCAAAACTCCTCCATCAAGGGCTACAGCTCAATGTGAGACACGAGAACTCAAAAACTGGAATAAGGGCCAAGGCCGAAGTTCCAAACACTGGCTAAAAGTTTACAGGACATCAAGAAGCCAGGAGTAGGGGGCCTGCTGGCCTCGACTGGAAAAGGGGACATGTGGCCGGAGGCAGAAGGAAAGCATGTGGGAGCACGTGCCGCGGGTGCTCAGGGGGACAGCCACCCAGGTCCCATGCCGAGTCCAGCGCCTCTGCCTCCGTTACCTGTTCGTAGTTCACAAACATGGCCGTCACAAAACTGCTGGCTGCCCACTTGATCAGGTTTGCAGACTGCTCCGGAGTCATGTAGACCAGCACACATTCAGTCACCAGGAGTGTTGGCAACCTGGAGGGGACAGGGAAAGGCACGGAGACACTGTCAGCGGACCGCTCTCACTGCGGGATGGGCGGCAGGTCCGCCCGGGAGAGCCCGGGGCAAGCACACCGCCCGTCGGCGCCCGTGACGCTCGTTGACGCCCACAGCGGTATGCGTGCAAAAGTGAGCGGTGAGCGATGGTTTGCTCGTGAAAACGTGCGAAGTGGCTACACCTTCTCCCCGCCCGGCACCCACACGGTGGCAATCCGAACCCACAGGCTCTGCCACTCAGGAGCTGTAGTCACCTCCCATCTCCTGGAGTCGGGGCAGTTGTCGACCACGGGGACAGTGGCGAGCGTGATGTGAGGAGGCTTACCCACCACCTGCATGCTAGCGCGGGCTCTCCTGCTGCGCTTGCTGTCAGGGGGAGCCAGGGAGGAGGCAGCCCCACGGACCTGCAGCTGTCCACACACGCGCACATGCACGCACATGTACACACGTACACACACATGCACGCACGCGCGAACCCCAGGCGATTCACCTAAGCTGGCCCCTGCAGAACTGCACTGCTAAGCCCTGCCCAAACTGCCACCCAGAATCCTGAGCAGCTCAACTGACTTGTTTTAAAGTGCTGCGTCTGGAAGGGTCTGTCACACGACCAGCCAGCTGATACGATGCAGGGATACTGCCATTCACGTAGCGAAACCTAACTCTACGAGCAGAAGCTTTACCACCGAGAACTGAGAGCTACGTGAGTGAACAACGTGTCTTCAAGCACTCGCGTTCCTAATTAGCACGCGTCCTGGCTCACTCCCAAAGCACCGAACAATCACGAAACAGGACAAGCAACGAATCCTCAAGAAGCACCCAAAAGCCTTAACTTCTTAAAAAAGCTCAAAGAGATTTTTTAAAAAACAAAGCAACAAAAATCCACACCTATCAAATAACTAACATGGAACCCAGGACAAGGGTCCAAGACTCTGCCAGGGCTCCAGGCTGACCAGTGTCAGCGGTGACCAACCCACCAGCGGTGACTCATGATGCACCCCGGACCCGGTGGTGTCCTGGACGTCCAGGCCCCCCGTCTGCTGAAGGAACACACTGTGCCCTTCCATCTGCGGCCGCATGAAGGGCCCCAAAGGAGAAAGAGGCGTGACTGCTCCTCACAGGGCTCTGCACACTCAGGGAGACAGACCCCGAAAACAGAGCTGAGCAGCAGCACGGGGCCAGAGGGCAGCCCGGCCTATGGGCGGTGGGCGCGAAAACCCTGACAAACGATGACCGGGCTGACGATTCTCGGCTGAACACGTATGCGAGATCATACGTGAAACGCGCACTAGACAGACCAAGCGTGCGCCCCGCTCCCTGCCCTCCTCGCCCGAAGCTCTGTCCGTGTGCTCCGCCCTCGCCCCAGAGCCAGCCACCCCCGGGCCAAGCTCCACAGCCCCCTTTCCAGCGGCGGGCCCCTCGCTGCTCTTTAACCACTGCCGACTCTCTGCCTCAGAACCTTCTTTAAAACCACACGTCTTCACCTACAGCAGCCTAGGACCCGTCTTTACCTCCCACTGACCCTTTAAGCCCAGTCTACGGCCAGCATCACTGTGAAGCCACACGCCTCCCCTCCACCCCCGCTCTCCGAGTCTGGTGCGAGGCCTTCTGGTCCGCGTAGGGTCACCCGTGCTGCACACGTGCCCCCACGAAAGCACTCTGGGGCTTTGGGCTCACGCGTTTGGCACCACACTATGCTTTCCACTCCACAGACGTTTTGAGCGGCCTGTGAGCTGACCTAGGTGCCGCGTTTCACGTTATTCATCCGCTCTCCTCCCGAAACCATTTGGGTTGTCCCAACTTTCTGCCACAGAGAACAGTGGCTGCAGTGGACACCCTCCTCGTGCGCGCGGGCAGGGGACGCATGTGACGCACACACCTGCGATCTCTCTGGGTACTCCCGGACGGCTCCTGCCTCGGCCGTGCCATTCACCTCCGCCAGTGGCGCCTAACCATGCCTGTCCCCCGTACCCTCGCCGACACGTGACGGTACAGGGAAACGGAGCTCCGCCTGGTCACCACCACGGGCCAGCGCCCTCCCACGGTATCCATCTTCTTCTCGGAGCTGCCTGGTCATCTGTCCTCTGCCCATTTTTCTATGGGATTTTTTTTCTGTTACAGTAGCTATGCACATAATTCTCTTCTCTCGAACTCTGTTTCTATTACACCCCCGTATTCCACATAAGCAACACGATGATTCAGATGTAAAATCAGTGCTTCTAAAAAATTTCAGAAAATTACTCTAAGTAGCAACGAAACGATAAAAACTGCAGAAATGGGACCTGGGGATCATCGCGCATCGGCATGAAACCACAGTGTGTAACGGGTTAGGAAAAAAATCTCACTGTGTATTCATGTTACATTTCTTTAGTTTCTCTTCCAGTTCAGGTATATCTCGAAGGTCGGCTCCAATAATGGCGTATCTCTTTGAATCCAACAAGTGTCCATCTGCAAATATAAGGAAAGATTATTTTAACAGGCATTAATCAAGAAGGGATTTTAATTTCAATGGATGTGGTTTCTTCAACATTAAAATTATTGTTTTTCTCCATTATGAAAATCCACGCTCAATATTTTAAAAATTCAGATAAGAGAAGGATGAAAATTAACTACAATCACACCTTCCAAAAACAGCTATTAGTGTTTTACTGTGTAACATTCCAGCATTTTTTCCTATGTGCTCACACTCATACACAAACACATCCCTTCTCTCTTTAACACACACACACACACACACACACACATACACACACACACACACGCACTGCCCCTGCTGAAGACTTTTGAAGAATTAAAAGGGGGCCATCCAACGACTGTCGGGAAAACTGCTTCTCCTACATAACGAGAACTTGCAATGCCGTGACAGCACTTCACTGAGCAGAAGACTCGTCTGACTTATCCAGGCCCTCTCTACCAGACGCGTGGTATTTCTGGGAGTCCTGTCTCGGGCACTGTGGTCAGCGTCCCTGCATCCTCGTCACGAGGCACCGTGGAATTGTTTCTCTGACGTGTGAGAGCAACCTGGGCAGAACCCCAGACGCCTTCCCCCCGAGTACATCCGACCCGGATGGCTAACGAGCCCTAGAACTTCCCAGTCAGACGCAGGCTGAGAGCGATGGAGGAGTCCGAAGGACGTTTGTCTTAACTTGAGGAAAGTGTTGCTGGAAACATCCGTAATTAAACGGGGGGAACTGAGTGCTGGCGGGGAGGAAGGGGCATAAGCGGTGGGAGCACCCAGTGTGGGACAGCGGGGAGAGGTGGGAACACGCTGGGGACGCATGGCCCCTTCAAATGAGGCGGCCGCCGCTCAGGCACTGCCACGCAGCAGTAACGGCCTCGGCTGCCAGATCTGATCTTTCCAAGGAAAGCAGGACATCATGATTTTCACAAAAAAGCTATTTTTGAAATGTTGGCAACTAATTTAAATGAAAAAAGGACTTAAGATTGGGGACCTATGACCAGGTCAGAAGAGCCATACAAAATCCGTTCCGTTCCCAATTCCTTCCTGGTAACCGTGAGGGAAGTGTAACTGGGTCAGAGGCAGACACCATGGGACATGGGCACAGGTGTGTGTACCGTACGAATGTGCACGCGCACACGCACACACACGCATGCACACGCACACGCATGCACACACGCACATACGCCATCTTTCAAAAGCAAGGGGGGAGCGAAACGCGCTGCCGTGTCCGCGTGCCACCCGGGCCCCGGGTACTTGCCCATCTGCAGGGTGTCCTCGCAGTGCAGCTCTAAGATGGGCTGCGACAGTGGCGGCTTCAACCTGTGGGAAGGTGGGAGGAGCAGCAGGCAGGGTCAGGCGGCCCCTGCTACGAACGCCGACACCCGCTGTGAGAGTGGCAGGTGCTCCCTGCTCCCGTGGGGCCCGTTCCACACTGCTTGACCCGAGGCACAGACAGAACACTTCAGGGGACACGGTCTTGGGTGAGGCCAGCCAAGCGTCACAGTCCGACTTTGGTGTCAATCATGAACTGACCTAAACCCACGGGACTGGGAAACGGCTAAAGGCGGGCTGGGGCTCCTGCTGGTCCCCGTGTTTGTCAGCCATCTCCGACCCTCGCCTCTTCCCAAACAGAACTTTAAAGACAGCTACTGTTCATCACAGGCGACTACACAATGCACTCTCACTCAGACCTCGAGTTCAGTGACATCCACTGATCAAGAATGTGCAGAACACCAGAAATCAGAGAGCCGAATTTTCAGGGCCCTGATGCTGTGCACAGATGCCAGGCGTCCCCACCCCGGGCGTCCCCACCCCGGGAGCCCGTCGCCAGCCGGAGCCGAGCGCTGCCTTGCTCTCCCCCCACAGTTCCAGCAAGATCGGCCACTCTGCCTTCCCAGAACATCGGGCCGCCATGCGCCATCCAAAAACCACATCTAGTACAAAATGTAATTTTACATATGGAAAAGGTAAAGAACTTATTTTCATAAGGTAAAGCAAAAAATAATAAAGCTCAAAAAATACTTCCACTTTGCGAGGATTAGACATCTCTAAAAAAAAGTTTAAACTTTCATGTTTATTAAAAATATTTCAACATAAGAACTAGAATTTTATCTCAATGCCTGATTTGAACAAGAGGGAGGGAGCATAAGTTAGACCTCAGAAACCTTGACCTTGAGCTTGAAGTCAGCAGAGCTCTCAGCTCCACCCCGTCCTAGCTGGGTGACCTTAGGTAAATTAAACTTTGAGCCTCATTCGCCTCATCTGTCAAAGGTGGGGACAATAGCGCTGAGCTCATGAGCCTGCCCGAGGCCTGCAGGACACAATCGGAGGGAGGCACTTGGGAGGCTGCTGGGTGCCGAGCAGGTCTCGGCAGAGATGAGCGAGCCACGCCGGCTCCCTGAAGCCTGGGACGGCCCCTACCAAGCCTCACGTGGGATAACTGACCAACCGCTCACTCAGAAGCCATTTGCTGAGCATCTGTTCTGGACCAGGGCCCTTTCTGTGCCCTGGGGACAAAGAAGGGGACAAACTTCCTAAGAAATCCGGTTATGGAACGACCGCTCCCTTGAGCACTGCGGTAAAGGTGTTTCTCATTCCGAAGACTGGCGACACACTGGAAGGGGGGGCCCAGGGAAGCAGGGTCCAGGACGAGGCCCTTAGCATCCACGCTGCTGCCTGCAGGGAGCTGGCTATGTGTCCCGCCAGGCTCCTGCTCGCGGCCGCAGCCACTTACTTGATGGTGTGCAGCTTTCTGGTGACTATCATTGGAAAGTCGACTTCAAAATATTTGCTTGGGAGAAGGTCTTGATCCTGGGAAAGGACACATAAGCCTTGCAGTTACTCACTCAAGCACGCTCGCTGACCGCCTCCACGCGCCGGCCTGAGGCCGGGAAGGGCACGGGCCCTAAAGGGCTTCCGGCGGGAGCGACAGACTCAGCACTCACTTTCCAGATGAGTCTGGTCTCGGCACAAAGACCGGGTGGGGGACAGGTAAGCAGCCATTGCAGCCGTCCAGGGGGCGTAAAGGGCTGGGAGGAAGTGGGGTGGTCACGGGTGCTTCACAAGTCGCACAGAATAGCAATTTTCAAAAAGCAGCGCGGGGCCTAGCGCACAGTCAGGAAATCATGTGGCGGGTTTTGCCCAGCAGTTTGGGGATGAAACAGACTAAAACAGCGAAGAGCCGAAAGCTTCACGTCATGAGGGCGCGTGCCGTTTCGCGATTCGTGTTTTTTCCACGATCATGGAGCACAGTGGGTGGTAAAGAACAGGCAGTCTGGGCTCAGGGCCCAGCTCTGCCCCGTTGGCTGAGGCCTCGGGACAGTCGCTCGACTCCTGGGCCAGGGGCTCCTGCCCTGGGAAGCGGAGAAGAGGCCGCACCTCGCGGGGCTGCGGATGCACGGGAAAATGCACACACGCTGTCAGCGTTTACAACCAGGCGCGTGGAGGCGCGTCCCCCTCGGAGCAACGTGCGCTCCCTGCAGTGGCTGCAGCAAGGACACAGCACCCTGCGTCCCCTCGCCTGTCCTGGTTCAGTTGGTGGCCACCCTGCCACTGACGGGCCGGTCCCCTCCCCGTGGGTGTGGCTGTACCTTCCCCTGAGCTCTAGCAGAGCTGCCATGGGATCGAGTCAGAGGACAGCTACGCAAGGGCTCGGTGTCACACGACCGTCACCCCTGGCCGTGCAAACCTCCAGATCATCCAGGACACCGCTCGCCGACAGGCGAATCTTAGTTAGCGTCCCCCATCAGACGCACGTGCTCTGCCTCAGCGGGTCCGCCAGGAGGGGTTTGGCCCCGACGTGTCTCCACGCAGGCGGAGGGAAAGGCACGCACGGGTTTTATTAAACCCTGTTTGTAGCGGCAAAGGTGGGAAATGATGCACACAGCCCCCCGGGCCCCGGTGCGAGGCAGTGTGGGGCTGGCCAGCAGCCAGGGACAGGGCTGGGAGGGCGGCTGCCACTGTGTCCCTTTTCACACATTTAAAATATTTTTGAACCAGGTGAACATCTTCAAAGCATTAAATGTGAACAGTTGAGGAAACAGGAGAGTGAATCTGAACTTACCTTTAATATCCAGAAGGTGGTGTCCATCCCAGCCCCGAGGTTTATGATCTGGCAGTGGCATTCTGTTTTCCGCAAAAATGCCTTTATAAGCTGACCGATGCCGTAGACTCGAGCAAAATAACCTAAGAAAGAGACAGCGAAACGAGCTGTCACTCAGTGAGGACAGAAATGACCCCTGCAAGGCCTGGGGCACCAGAAGACGGAGCGCCCCGCCCCCTTCAAGGTCAGCGGCGTATGGCACACCTGCAGGAGGAACAGCACCTTCAGATGCTTTTTTTTTAAATCCCTTTGAACCAAATCACAACCTAGTGACTGGTGGAATTATCTAAGAGAACTGAAGCGTCCTATAACTTTACTTATGAAAGATGTGTTCTGCATCAAAACAGCTGATCTAAATGCTCCCCTGGGAAACGACCTCTTGGAGTTTGACCACCAGACCTTTCTCAAGGCCAGAGAGAAAGCCGCTCAGCACTCTCAGCAGTCGGGTGAAACTCAAAACTGCGAAATCCGACGGGAGAGACTATTTTTAGGCTGGGAAATCGGGCAGATGGATGTCAAAGCTGAAGCCGCATTTCTCACCTGGCTCCTCCCACCTCCACCTGCCCAGGGGACCCTGTGCCTTGGAGGGTGGGGAGGACACAGCCAAGGGCTGCGATAAGACGACCCTGAAGCTCTGGAGACAGAGACGGGAGGTGGGGGCAGGGAGCGAGCGGCCCTCTGCTCGCTTGAGCCCTGCTTGCTCAAAGCATGGCTGTTTTAGGAACCAAATTCGAGCAGCATTTAGAAACTTCTTTTGCAACTTGCCAGGAATTTTCTGTCTGTTGACTCTACTCATAAGTAATTTTGGCTTGTATTTTGTATGTCTTTTTCATTTATTTTCCAAGCAAACCATTCTTATCGTATTTCATAGAAATGCCCACAATGGATTGGGTATAGGGAAAAAAATCTTTACAGCATGGTGTTTGGGGAGCACTCTCCTGGTGGGCTGCAGGTCCCCAGTCTGGGGATTCGGCCCCAGGGAGAGGATGAAGGCAGGCAGGAGGGCCGACATCTGCCCGGGCCCCGGGAAGGCCAGCGCGGCCGTCCCTGCCTCTGGAGCGGCCCTTAGGAAAGCTGCCTGCCAGCCGGGCCTTGCCCGGTCTCACCGACGTTTGGTTTCACTCTCGCGCAAATACCACGTCCTTACTCTCCGGAACCCTCGCTTTAAAAGTCCCCTGTGCATCTTAGGGAACCTAATCTCTAGGATCTGACCTTTAGGGCCAAGACGCCCCACTCGCACGGGAACGACTGCCCTTTGGTCGGTTTCCTGAGCTGGCTGAGACTGAGTCAGGCCAGACTCAAGTCCCCTGACTCCCTGCTGGAAATGAGCTCTGCGGAGTCCTGCAGTGTCGCTAACAACTTAGTAAGGCACCAAAAAGTGATCTCTTCTGCCAACGGACAGTTCATAGTAAAAATATATAAGTGGCTTTTAAACATATGGAAATGATCTTCTACCTTACTGTAAACAAAAGGAATGAAAGATAAGGTTACCCTAAGATACCAGTTTTCAAGTATTAGGTTAGCAAAGACGAAAAAGCTGCGTGACACACGGCGGGGGCGGACGCGGACGCGGGGAGAGAGCACACGCGGCTGCGGAGTGTGCACACTGGACGCTCTTGTTAGGAACGAAGCCCTGAAGCTTCCGGCCTCTCGGCTGACGAGCGGTGCTGGGGAGGGAGAGTCACTCGCCTCTGTTAATCTCAGGGGCCTTCCTCTCTTTAGAGAGCCTCACGAAATGCTGGATGTAGGGGTCGTCCCAGTAGCCGATGCTCACCGCAAACCTGGAAGGGAAGAAAGAGAGGGCAGGTGAGCAGAGGCCAGCAGTTCCGGCCAAGGTCCATGGCCACGTCCCCGAGAACCAGGTCAAGGATCCGGAGGAGACGTGCCGGCCTCCGAAGGCCAGCGAGGGCACACCCAGCGCCCCCGCACGGCGAAGCCGGATCCGCGCCCGCCTCGCGTGTGCTCACTGCTCACCATGCCTTCTGCAGCGCCCACCTGTCACCTGTCTGTCCTCACGCCACCGATCCCTCCCTTTCCCAGAACCCGACCCAGCAAACGACCTCACCCCATACTTCATTTAGTCACCCGGCAAACTCACTGGCCCAAACTTTTCGTGCCCAGAGGAAAGGAAATTCTGAAATATTTAGCAAACATCACTAACAGTGACCTGGGCACTTCTCCCGAGTTTGTGCTGGGTGCCGGTCACTTCACAAACCTCATGGTGGTCACAAGGTCACGGAGGGGAAGCCAGGAACAAATAAACAAAACCACAACCTGGAAGCCACTCTGGGAGCCTACACTCCCTCTGCCCGGTCTACATGGCAAGGAGTCCGGCTTCTGTGTCTGAGCTGGGGGCTGAAGCCTGGGTGACCACTGAAGTCTTCCGGGTGGAACCAGCCCTAGGGCCACTGAGAAGGCGAGGGAGGAGCTGGTCCCTAAGGCCACGCCAGGCCACCGCAGGCCTGGGGCCTGCTCTAGCTCTCAGCGGACATTCGGTGAGATGCTAGTGTCTTCTCCTTCGAACCAACTTGAGCAAGGCTTCTGTCACTTGCAGCCTACGGCGTCCTCACTCATACCCTGGTAATACACGCACGACACATCACGTTGCTGATAAGTGAGCTGAAAAGCAAGGTGTGCATGTGTGTCGTGTGTCCAGGTCAGTTCTGAGCACCCAGAAGCAGATGCTGCCTGTCTTTTCTTCGGGTCTGCCGACAAGGCTCACGGCAGCCCTGGCTGCAGTCAGTGCGGGTTCTGAAGAGATGTCCCGTCTCGTGCATCCTGCCCACACAACCACAGATGCGGGTCTGGGGCGCACACGCTCAGCCGCTCAACACGGAAACACACACGCTCGCGCCAAGAGCGCCGTCTGCTGCGAGTCCAGACTGCCGCGTTTCACAGGAGCGAACTTGCCGGCGGTCCAAACAGGCTTACAGACACCGACCCGCTGGTCTCGTTAAGTCGATTTCATAGTTTGCGAACCTGCGTTTAAAAAATGATGCCGAATAGAGAACCATAGACAAGAGCGGCATGGAAGGCTGTTCTGTGGAGTGTGTTTCCAGCAAGCGCTGTGAGGCTGCGGGGCCATCTAGTGCCACCTAGTGGTAACAGCCGCACCAGCCTCGAAGGACGACCGGCAGGCGGGTGACTTTTTTTGAGAACGTTCTTCAGAGTTTAAGGGTTGGAAGGGGCCTTAGAAATGGTCTCCTGAACCCCAACACCGATGCAAGAAGCTCTTCGGCGGTACAGAGCCACTGCTGGGCTCCCCACAAAGGCGGCGCCCACCCTGCTGCCCCACACGGAGGCGGGTGGGCTCCCGGCCCACGGGCTCCCGGCGAGGCCAGCTCTAGCCTGGTGGCAAACACGGAGCGGTGTCTACTCCTCTCAGCTCTGACCATCCGTCGCTCTGCCCCTACTCCAGCCAAGCAGCATTTACTGAGATGCCGCTCAGGGCCAGGGGACCGGGGACCGAGCGGCGAACAAAACGGAGAAGGGACAGAGGCAAAGACGAGTGGCAGATGATGATGAGCAAAGGGCATGAGCAACGCGGAGGACGAAGGGGTCGACCTGAGGGAAGGTGAGAGGGAAGGCCTCTCCGACGGGTGGCCCGCTGTGCCCTAGAGTGTGCCGACAGGATGCTCCCGTGTGACAGAGGACTCGCAGTGTCCGTCCCAGCAGTGGACAGTGGGCGGGTGCTGGAAAGCGAGGCAGGCTCAGGCCACACAGGCCTGGCAGAGGGCTGGGACTGGCCTCGACAGCATGTGGACAGCGTCAGTGACGCGTGGCATAAAAACATGGCAGATGCATCAGGAGTGGACACAGGCACGTCCGGTCCCTGGTTCCCACCAGTCCTGCTTCCCAGCATTTCTGACCGTCTCGCCGGTCCTCAGACCTAGATGACTGCCAGTGGTTTCCAGGCCTCTCAGAGTGACAAGATAAGTTTCCGGCACACTGGTGGGAGGAGCCAGGGAGGGAATAGGACGGGGCGCTGCCCTTGGGAGTCTGGAGGGAGGGCGTGGTGTCTCAGGCCACCGAGGGGAGGGCAGCGTAGCAAGCTACGGCATCCACGCACTGTACGAGCCAGTCATGGAACAGAGAAACGCGGAGAACTGGCCATGGCGACGTGTTCAAGAACAATGCTAGGAGGGACAGGTCAGGCCAAAGCAGCCCGGGCCCCGCCCAGGAAACCCTGCTCCCCTGGGCCTAGAGGCGACCCGGCCCCGGGTTTCAGAAAGCCCACAGGCCACGCTCCTGTGCTCCTCAGGCTGGGGACTGCTGCCCCCGATCCTCTGCTGCTCTGAACCCCAACTTTCCCTGCAGACAAGGGGGCACTGAGAACAAGCAGAGAGGAGCTGAAACTATGAAACGGACAGTCGAGGACAGTCACGCTCCCGTTTACTGCTTCTCTGCACTTTTCTCTCTCTGAACCATTTTATAGCTAATTTAAGCAAGCAAGTTTGAAAAAAAGTTACAGTAAGTATTAAGCAAACCGGTATCATCGATATTCAGTAATCCTAACCCTAATGTGCTACGGAAAAGTATCTTATGTCCCACTGAAAAGTTTGACGGCAAATATGAGAAATATCATTTCCAATTCAACAGTGCTACAGATGTGGTCGATGGCGACTGGAAGCTGGAGAAGAAATAAAGTTGGGTGTCATTCATTCAAGTTCACAAATCTCCTCGGGGACTGCTCACAAACCCTTCATTCTTATGTATTTATCCACGTATTTAATCCACCAGCCCTGACGCATCCTGCATGCCAGACGCTGCCCTACGTGCTCTACCAATATTAAATGTCATTTGATCTTTACGATCGCCTATGAAGTGGGCATTATTATCACCCTCACATGACAGATCAGGAAACCGAGGCACAGACCGGGTTAGTCAGTTGCTCAAGTCTACACGGCTAGCAAGTGGCAGAGCTCAGAGCAGTGTGGCAGTCTGGCCCCCGAGTCCACGTTCCAAACCACTAGGCTTACTCTCCAAGAACCTACGAAAAGTGCAAGCCTTAATCTCACACTTCCGTGCTCCCACCTCACAGTCCCTACGTGGTCCCAGCTCCCTGCGCACTGCTTCCGGCCGCTCACGGTCTGTACTACTCCCTGGCTCTGCCTGAACACTCTCCTACAGCTCTTCCTTCTTTCAGCCTTTTGTTCTCAGCGTTAAGATCACTGCCTAAAATACAGACTCCAAGAGCACACCGCATTTCTCAGCGCTCAACACAAAACTATAATTATGTATCCATGGGCAATCCCGGTCCCTTCCGACTACGACTACGCTGTATGGCAGGGACCCCGGGTGCCGTCTTCAACATGTGTTGCCGAAAACTGAGTCCCCAGCACCCGGCACAAAGTAAGCTCTCAGTAATTGTTGCTGACTGAATGAATGGGCCGGCACACTCGAGCCTGGCTGGGGCTTTGTTTTCCGTGCTTCCGGGTGGGTGGAACGTACTTGTGATGACAACGCCCCCCACTACACCTGTAGTAGTGAGGATTCCCGGAGCATACAAGTTACAGCTCTGGGAAGTACTGGCTCTGCACGCAAATATGATGTAGGCCTGAACAGGTCATCTCCCCCGCGACTGGCCCGAGTTTCAGCGGCACAACGGGGTCCACGACGACCCCCGCTGGGACGGGACCTGGAAAGGAGGGAGAAGCCGCGCTTCTCCGGACGCGTCAAGGCTGTCGTCACGCCGCGCTGCACGTCGG